TTTTTTACTAGCTACTAATATTGACACGCTGATTGATGTAAGACTAATTATCGGTAATATGTATTAATTTCTCAAACTATCCAGATGGTGGACATGCTAACAGGCTCGCTACCGTTTTCTGGAACACAGAGTGGAGGAAATGAGTGGAAATTTTAAACTGTTTGATTTGTTACCGTTTCACCTTGTTGATTTATCAGTTTGCTTTGTGGAAGGTGTCCGCACAGTGATACATCATTATTTTGGTTATTCTGTTGTGTGGCGATGCTTACGAATATCGCAGTTCACGACTACAGGTGTTACTGGAAAATATACAGCATCAAATAGATAAAGCATATTAATCAGAACAAGGCCAAAAGGATACGATGACATTCTTTGTATAGGGAATTTTCTCCGTCACATAAATTAAACCGTTATCAAGACGTGTTATTGTAAAAAAAACAAGTCAGATCGGAGATTTCGTCGCTTGGTCATCCATGTGTACTTTGCAGGCCAGTAAAACTCTATGCCATTGAGAGATTTATATAAAGCAGCCATTGTTTTTAATAACTAATAAATTAACTAAGTAAACTAACAAGATAGTTCCGGCAAACATAACTTACCGAGACTATAATGACAATAAAGGTAAAAGACGAGGTCCAAAATGACGTCATAATGACCTAAACTCTATCCTGGGCTGATATGGAACGGACATCTTGATCACGAGTCCGACGTGCTATCAACTGCGCTAATGTTCACCCTCCACCCCTAAAGCAAACACTTTGTGAAACCTAGCTACAGATCCCAGTCACACACGTTACAAGTAGTATTCATATTTTCTCCTTAAATGTTATTTTCTATTTATATTTTTTAAAAATAGTATGCACATGTCATGTGAACTGCTTTACTAGAATTTACTCTAACTAGAAACCAATGTAAACTCCCCTTCATTGAAACTGTAAGGATTCTTTACAGTCATCTTACGAAACATATATTCACGAATCTTCCAATAGAATAATTGATTTTGCCATGGTAGAGACTGATAGTTGTTGTTTTAGGACTTAACGCCATTTTTAGCACAAGATAGGCTATACATGGCGGCCAGTATTAATGGTGGAGGAAAACCCCTGGAAAACCTCGAAAAAATCCACCGACCCACGAGAAGCTACTGGCAGGCTTTCTCACATACCCACGTTAGCCGAGCATAGGCTCGAACTCACGCGGAAAGAGGTGAGATGGCAGTGATCCGTAACGGTCAGCGCTTTAAACCTCTCGGCCACTAAGGGCTCCTTATAGACTGATAGCAGTTTTTCACTTAAACAGATTTATCCAGTGCCGTTTTAAGACATAGGCACGTGCATAGGGCTTCGCGCAGCCGGGAACCCCGCGGCGGCCCAAAAGCAAAATTTGGGAGTCGGTTGTGTTAGCAGTTTAGTACTATATTAATAAATTGAACAAAATGACACTCTTGCAAATGGAAATGCAATGCAATACTCTATATCTGAGACAGAGGGAATGACGCGCAATACTGGTTACTTTTAAAGTTAGAGCTTGTGCCTAGGTTCCCCAAACGTCTTTAAACGGCTCTTTATTTACCTCTCTGATTTTTATTTAAATTTAATTTTTTCGTTAATAATTAGCTGTATAATTAATTAATTAATTAATTAATTAATTAATTAACGCTTATAAAAACTATCTTGTCTATGACAGAGGTTTGAGTCCTTATCAAATGAGCTAAATTATTTTGGTTTCAGTTAGCTCATTGGGGGCCACCCAGGGTTTGAAAACATAAGGCTATAATTCCAATTTTTATGAATTGACTGAGTTTTCTACGGTTTGATTGGTTGTAAACCGTCACGTGATACTCATTTGGAAGTTTTTACACATCAATAAATTCTGCGGACTACTTTTGGTTCCATGTGTCATTTGATTTTAAATTGTATCTGTATCAACGCTTTTCACCCTAATGATAACAACAAGCTCCTACTCATCCACTCTTGTGATTTTGGATCAAAAATGACAAGCCACAGATTAAAATAGACCATTAGAAGTTAAAACAATGTAATTGAACAGACCTTCTGCACTCCCAACATTCATGCCTTTTACTGAAGAAGGTATATGGCAGGGTTTTGAAGCTAATCTTTGGAAATTATTGTATTTCATCTCGACAACATGTTGCAGCAGCAGTTGTTAAAGGTCAGGGTCAGGTCAGCAAGGGGATCTCACTAAAATGGACACGATCTTGCTTTTGAAAGATCGAAATGCGTCGAAGGCAACAACGACGTTGCTATAACAACACGTGCCATACGCAAGCGTATTTTTAAAAAAGGGAATATTCCTCGTTTTACCACAACAATCATTTTTTTAAAGTGTCCAATGTAAGAAAGCTTCGAAGTACAATAAAGTGAATGTTTGTAGGTTAAATCTGCTGATCTGATCTTAGAAAGAAAATAAATTGGAATAATTTTACATAATCACTCACAAAGTTTACATATATTCCTTCTGACTTTATTTACTTTGTGAGTGATCAGCTAAAATTTACACTTCAATAAATACCCAACCATGATCGTTTAATCATAAAATAATTCCATTTTTATGTATTGACTTCGTTGTCTATGATTTGATTGGATGTAAACTGTCACGTGATACTGCTCTGAAATATTTTGCACATCGATAAATTCTGCGGAATTCTTTTGGTTTCCTGTTTCCATGTCATTTGATACGAATTTTTGTTATATCAACGCCTTACACCCTAATAATGACTACAAGAAGCACCCACCAACCAACTCCTGTTATTTCCAATCAAACTTTGGTGGCGCCCTAAAGTTTCGAATTTGGCATAGGAGGTTATAATTTTCAAGAAAAAGAATTTCCCCAGGGTTTCCTCACTAGTTATACTGGCTTTTTAAAAAAGACTTTGTATATCTTAGGTATTGTTCAAATAACCTTTAATTTCCTTTATGTTAGTGTATGATTGATGGGTGTAATATAGGTTAAAGAGTATACAACTTGGACTCACTCCAGATGTGCACATTTCAAAAAAGTGCTAGCTCCACTTGCCCATTTTTACTTCGCGAACTTCAGAGATAAATTGTAAAAAAATAGAGCCGATAACATTTATTTTACATTTTATGTATTTGGTAATTCATTCATTGCACTTTTAGAAGCTGGTATTATCTAGTTTGGCAAAATTAAGTTTTCCTATTTTGATAGCTGCTAAGGATATTGTACTTTAGACAAATTCAGGTTGCTTTTTGGAGCAAAAGGGAGCAGTCAATTTAGTTAGCAGTGTTGGAAAATTGGAAGAGAAGTACAATATCCAAAGAAATTTCAGCCACATTGCATAAAAGTAGCATAGACGTATGCCAACATTCTCTCCAGTGTGCATGTTTAAAATGCAAACAACTTCACCTAACCTACACCACTCTCTCAAAAGTACATAATAACTGGTGAATGCCACCTTTACAAATCCGAAATTAAAATCGACCATTAGAAGTTAAAACAGTGTGATTGCACAGATCGTACATTGTGCCGAAGAAGGCTTATGGTAGGCTTTACAAGTCAATTGTGTTTATTGCATTTTGCTTCGACAGCATGTTCCAACAGCTGTTTTTAAAAGTCAGGGTCATATTTCTAAGAAATGGAGACTATTTTGCTTTTAAAAGATCGAAATACGTAGAAAGTAACAACAACGAATGCAAAAAGAAAACGTGTCATATGCAAGCGTAATTTTCGAAAAAAGGAATCGTCCGGTTTAAACAGCATCAATATATATATATATATATATATATATATATATATATATATATATATATATATATATATATATATTAATGCACTTTAAATTTCTGATCCACGCATAAATTATACACATGTATAATACACACTCCTTGCTTTTCTTGTATCCACTTATATATTTGGATGATGGCTGTTGTTCAGTTATAATAAATTATTGCCGATCCCATGTTCCTAATTACTCCAATACAATATGTTTAAACCCCAAATTTTGAGTATCAAAGTATGCATATAAGCACGGTGTAGCGGATATAAATAGATACTCATATGCACATAAATGAGTTTCACATTGTGTAGATTCAAAACGTGCTAGTTATTTGTACAACGGAACGATGCAGTGACTCGGTGCAGGGGTGTTTTGGGACATATAACTCCTACTTTGTAATGTAAACCAAACGCTTAAACACTTTATCTCGTTCCACGACAGCTGCTAATGATGGGATAAAACGACGTTTGAACATTTGGAAGAGATGATTATCTCAGAACGCTTGTAAACGTGTAAAGTATAGAAATATCGTCTATTTTATAGGCTTTTAATCGAACATTCTCACACGCACTTGATTTGATTTCAATAAACAAGAACCAAAAGTGTAATAAGCTGATATAAGTAGACACAGGTGTCGACCATAACGGAAAGATTGCATTCGTTCTTCAAACGCTTTGGCTTCATTAGCTCAAGAACAGAGGAAATTTATGTTATGGAGTGTTGTCTGATACAATCGACAAGGTCGATTTAGAAAATAATGTTTACTTCTTATTTCTTTCATTTTTATATCATAATTTTAATCAGAGACATTATGACCTACTTACGATTAATTGAAAGCATATTATAAGGGTCTCTGTGTGTCGAAAATCATTCCGCAAATGCTAGTGGTATACTTATTTATAATTCATGTTTATTATTTATATCTCACATATTATTTTTCTATCTAACATGTTATTGTTCCCATCTCATATCAGTTTTATACCTCCTCACATCATCCTACTCAGACATATCTTTAAAGTATTTTGAATTCTTGCAATAAGCATGACCAAATTTGGAGTTAATTTTCTACTAAGATTCCAGCAACCTTGATAATATTCTTCCTTTTTACGCAGTCTTTTGTTTCGCTCTCTGGTAAATATACTTGACGATAATAGTTGATCCACAAAGCAACAAACATGCACAAACTTCGGCTTTTGCAAAAACGGTGCGCCATTATTTACGTTATACCAGATCCTGCTTTAACCGCTCTGATGGCCTAGTGGTTAGTGTCCGCCTCGGGTGCGGGAGGTCGTTGGTTCGATCCCCAGTCGAGTCATACCAAAGACTTACAAAAATGGTACTAACAGCTGCCTCGCTTGACGCTCAGCATTAAGAGGTTAGTGTTAGGACTGGTCGGCCTAGTGTCAGGAAAATGTGACTGGGTGGGACATCATGCTACATGTCTGCGGCATGATGCCTCAGTGCTAAACATCACTATAAACTGCCACACTGCAAACATCGTAGCGATATGACTGAAAAAGTGTTAAAAGCTACTTTAGAAATTATAAAACACCACACCACACCAGATCCTACTTCCGATCGTATATCGATTTCATAAACAACTAAACCATGAAAGCTTATGTTATTTACAAGATCATGTGATCCGCATTGCCAAATGTGACTGTCTCCTATTGTATTAAAGCGCTTATCTTTTGACGATATTTTTCAAAATCTCCTTTTAGCCCTTCAAATTAAAACGAACCTCTTTGGTTTGCAAATTGTATACTAAATCAGTGTAACAAATAATATTTTCAATGTATTCACTTTCCACGTCCATAGAAATAACTTGAATAAGAGGCACATACATATATGTTTCAGTTGGTACAAATCTCGGCACGTTCAAAGTAACAAAGAAAAGAGTGAAGTCAACAAACTTTTTAAATTTTAACCAAACAAAATCTATTTCCAAACAAAACACAGTAAAAATATGAAAAAGACTTATAATTTGTGAACATAATCTAAACATTAATCCCAGAATTGAAACACACAAGTCATATTATTTAAATATCCCAAATAAACCCAAATTAGAAATCCCAGCAAAGTTCAATGATGTAGGACAAATGAAGTATTGATTTCACAAGTTCCAAGTTGAATTTTATGAATCACAAAAAATATTCCACCTTTAGCAATCTGAAAAATTTCCACTAAATGTCTGTTTCCAAAACTTTCATGACGATGTACTTATTTTCTAGAGAATATAAATTATTCTTAAGCAACGAATAACTCCAAATTGGCACAACAGAAAACACTTCATATCTCTTGAAGGTACTTTTACTACTAAGTTAGAAAATAGCAATGCTTAGTATTTAACCCCACTAAAACGTCATTTTAACACTTGTGATATGTCTTATGATCAATACAACGCACGTGACACGTGCGCACAGATCATGATGGACAAGGTGATCACGCTGATATTATATATATATATATATATATATATATATATATATATATATATATATATATATACATATACATATATGACCTTGATACTGACCAATCATTTAAACTGCTAGTAACCAAGTGTATGAACGAGGTCAGCTTAACACAATGCAAATAAAATAATTTTCAGTTCTGTACAAACAGAATGTACTTTACAAAATATCGAATCCCGTGAAAAAATCATTACAATAACATGCAATGAAAGTAAATCAAATAAAAAGAATTTATAAGCTAACAGAAGCATTTGAATTACATATTCGTAAGGCTTCCACCATAAAGTAAAATAAATATTTATATAATATAAAGCTTTCTTTTTAACATCTATAAATTATACATGAGGTAGACACAAAATTACATAAGAAAACACATGAGTTATACAAAGTTTAAATGAAAAATAGTTATATACACTGGAACGTGTATCTGCAATCAAACTGTCTTTTCCGTTCATGTGCCTGTTGTTAAGATTACTATTTTTGCATAAACAAACTCGACCTTGACCTTGGTTTTCATTCTTTCTCTTGTCGATGAAAGTGAAGGGGTTGTGATCACTATACACAACAACCGGAGAAAGAGCTTAGTTAATGTAAACTTCAAAAGGCTTTAATGCCAATATTAAAGCCAGACATTCCTTCTCGATTGTTGAGTAATTTCTTTGGTGCTTGTTCAATTTCTTTGAAAAATAGCATACTGGATGATCAACACAATTTCTCTCTTATTGAATCAAAACTTCTCTAACCCTAACATCACTCGCATCCACAGATAATTTATATGTCTGACATAAATTTGGAGCTGTATGAACTGGTGCACTTTTGAGTAAGGCTTTAAACCTATCGAAGGCCTCCTGATATTTTTCATTTTAAAGAAACTTGTTTTTCTTACTTAACAAGCTTCTCAGGGGTTCAGCAAAGTTGGAAAATTGGAGAAAAAAAATTCGATAGTATTCGGCCATACCCAAAAATTGCATCAGTTGATTTTTATAAATAGGCACTGGGGAATCAGAGATAGCCTTGACCTTAGCATCTATAGATTTAACTTGACCATGTCTCACAATATGCCCTAAAAAAGTCACACAAGCACGGCAGAACCCACTCTTAAATAAATTGATTGTCCAATTTGCATCTGTAAGTCTGTCAAAGAATTTCTGATTTGTTGCAAGATGTTTTTCCATATGTCTTGTAGATGATGCCATCATTAATATAAGCATTACAATTATCTAGACCATAGGCAATCATATTCATCAAGTGTTCAGAAGTACTTGGGTAACCCTCCATTACGAACGACATTAATTTATATTGGTAGAGTCCATCTAGAGTCACAAATGCCGAAATTTCATTTGCCCTTTCCGTTAGTGGAATCTGCCAAAATCCCTTTAGAAGGTCAAATTTGGTGACGTACATGGCATTTCCAATTTTATCAATAGTCATAGATTATTGGTAATGGAAATGATCTGTTTTTTGTCACGCTGTTCACCTTCCTATAATCAGTGTACATACGGAAAGTTTTATCTGGTTTCGGAACAAGTATACATGCTGAACTACAGTCACTTTTACTGTGCTCGATGAAATCATTCTCCAGCAAATAATGAATTTCCTTCTTTAACTAATCATGTTGATAGAGTACATCGTATTAAAGATTTTAATTAATAATTTTAACGTCATGGAATTGTTGTTCCTTAAGAAGTATCTGGGAACAATTGTGCATATTCGAATAATAACTTTTCACGTTCAGTCCTTTCATCTTGTTGTAAATGCAAAAGATTTTGGTCAAGATTTTTCATAATTTCCGAATTCCGAAGATTTGTTGCTCCAACATCAACAGTGTCCGATTGAATTTTCTTACTTAAATCTTCAGTTTATGGGACAGGTATAACTAAATTGATTGAATAATTTACTTAGCAATCTCTTTGTGTATATTCCTTTAACATATTAATGTGGTAAAATTGTTTTTGTTTTCTTCTGCAAGGAGTATTTATGGTGTAATTCAACTCATTTACCTTCCTTTCAACCGTGTACGAAACATAACACTTGGACTGAACTAGATTTTATGGAATAGACAAGAGAGCTAGAACTCTATCACCAGGCTGAAAACTCTATCCTTTGAATTTTTATCATATCTCGATTTCATTCTGAACTGAGTAGAGCGCAGATTTGCTCTTGCAACCTCGACAATTTATACTTAAAATCAAAAGCTAAATCAAGAAGATTGAGATCAGTATCTTCATTAGAAAGAATTTTCTCTTTCAACAACTTCAAAGGTCCACGAACAGTATGTTCGAAAACTAGTTCAAAGGGACTGAATCATTCAGTACAAATATGCCCCCACCCCAACAGGAAACAAAAGTAAACGAATGCCTTCATCTCAATCTTTACTCGTGTCAAAACAATATGACCAAATCATATTCTTCAGAGTTTCATGAATTCTTTCTAAAGCCCATTGGCTTTTAGGGTGGTAGGCAGAAAATTTAAATTGTTGAATGCCTAATTTGTGCGTGAATTTGCTGGAGAATTCCAGACACAAAATGTGACCCTTCATACAATTGGACAAATTTTTAGAAGGCAACACTTTATCAAATCCGTTATTATGGTTTTGATTTTAATATTCCTCAACGAAATTATCTCTTGGAATATTGTTGACGAACACATAATGATCAACAAGTATTGGCTGCTTGACTTGATCTTAGTTAAGGGACCAACACAATAGACTATAATTATGATAAATAGTTCGTCAAATGCAGGAATTGGTTGGAGATGAGTATTTAGTATATTCTGCTTGGGTTTTCCTACCATTTGACAAGTATGACAATATATACATGAGCCAGACTAAGGATTCCCTGTCTGTAAGATTTTGAAACTACACTTTCATAGTCAACTGACCACTCGTCAGTAGCAATTACCTCGGAAGGTCTCCATTGTCTCATAAGAATTCCATTTTTAACGAAGCAGCAGACAAGTACTTCACTGGCTTCAGTTTCACTAATAGCCCTTTAAAAAAACCAGATCTTAGGATCTTTTCCTCTTCGACGACAAGTGATTGTCGTTTATCATCCTGTTTATATTAAAGACAATGATTGTTTGAAAGAGGCTCACTGTGGTCAATACCTTTTGACTGACCCAAATCAGGAGAAAAAATGACCTCATCAAAATTCGATCAATACATGTGTCAGCTAAAGGGATATTTTCCTTATCAAAATCATTATCAAAATCATTCTCAAGAGCTTTCTTTGCCATAGTTATGGCAACTGCACAAGATGGGGTATAACTCGTGGTAGGGTAGTCTTTTTTCAAAGGATACACTTTATGATCCAACGAAGGCTTCTTTAGTTACAAGTAGAGTAACCACAACCTTGTTTCCAGCTTAATCGTTGTCTAGCAACAAAAGAATGCTCTCATCCGGTAAGTTACACACTATACCGACTGTCACATGTTTTGAAACTAATTCTGATGACAAATGTACAAAATGGAGAGGAACATTAACGAAGCCGCACTCTACTCCCTGAATGAGAACAATCTCATTCGAACAGGACCTTTCAGGAAAAGGCAAAATGATATATTAAAAGACTCTGAGAAACTCCCGTATCCCTTAAAACTTTAATAGGGATAGGATTGACCGAATCACCCAAGACTGATATAGAACCCTTTGACACGAATGGTTCATAATTCTCCATAATAAAATTAGACTGGGGTTTTATTAGACCCAACAAATGTATTGCTTTCAATACATGACCTTGATCTTTTAAAAATAAGTGCATTTGGGTTAGGTCTATTTTGATTCTGATGCTTACATTTCAATTTGAAGCAGTCAGAAATGACGTGTCCTTTATGCAATAGGTACAAG